TTGTTGTTGTTGTTGTTGTTGTTGTTGTTGTTGTTGTTGTTGTTGTTTGTAGTGGTTGTTGTTGTTGTTGTTGCTGTCGTTGTCGTTGTCGTTGTTGTTGTTGTTGTTGTTGTCGTCGTCGTTGTGGTTGTTGTTGTTGTTGTGGTTGTGTAGTGTGGGGGTTGAGGTTGCTGTTGCTGTTGTTGTTGTTGTTGTTGTTGCTGTTGTTGTTGTTGTTGTTGTTGTTGTTGTGTGTTGTTGTTGTTGTTGTTGTTGTTGTTGTTGTTGTTGTTGAGGTTGCTCTTGTTGTGGTTGTCGTGGTGGTAGTTGTGGGTCTGGACGTGGGCCCCGCAGCCGCCCACGATGCAGACGAAGCACCTCGGTGAGGCTCGCATTTCCAGCATTATTTGGGCCTATTTTCGGCTTATGTTGGGCCATGTTGGCCCATCTGGAGCCACAAAGACGGAAAAGTGGAAGAAGCAGAAAACACAGTAAAACACAGTATTCTACATGGTTCGCTGGGGGGTCGGCGGCGAGGGGCGGTCAGCCCTCTCTCTTCGGAGAGGAGAGACTGCCTACGGCAATGACACGGCCAAGGGGCCCCTGGCCGGATTAAAGGCTTACGCCTAACAGCCGGGCGCCGGCCACTTGGGTCTGTGGGGAGCATGGCGCGCCTATGTTGGCCTTGGTGGGGCCTATATTGAGCAAAGTGAAGCTATCTGGTGCGCATCTTGGCCCTAGGTTGGGCCAAGTTGGGCCCATGTGGTCTATGTTGGGCACATCGTGGGCCCATGTTGAGCCTATGTTGGGCCTATGTTGGCCTATGTTAGGCCTATGTTGGCCTAGGTTGGGCCTATGTTGGGCCTATGTTGAGCCATCTTGGAGGCTATGTTGGGCATATGTTGGGGATATGATGGCTATCTTGGGCCTATGTTGGGGATATGTTAGGAAATGTAAATCGTCTGGAGGGCCTCTACCCACAAAATGTCGATTAAGCTTGTCCGCCCGGCCCGCATTACCGACACCACCCTGGAAAAACACAGCATTTTTGCATTTTTCCCTTTTCCCCGCGTCGTACTTCGATATGCGCAATAAACCCTGTAAAACACAGTGTTTTTTATACCTCACACACACGATACACTGTAAATTACAGGGGCTTCAGTGACCCGGTGGTCCGCCCGTTTTGATGACGAGGGTCGGCGGTGGGTCGGCGGCAGGGGGCGCGCCCGTCTATAACCTTCGGTTACCAACCGAAGGCCTCCGGCGAGGACACGGGCGCGTGGCCGGCGCCCGGATTTACCAAACTACCGCCTGCAGCCGCCGACCCCAAGGGAAAATGTAGCAATGTAGCGGGAGGGTTGGGTCTGGGATGGTCGCGGGCGGGGCCCTGCCAGAGAACTGGGTACGTTTTCCGCTGGATTTGTAGGATGTCACAGGTTGTTGCGGCATTTACTTAGGAATGCTCTTGCTTTTTGCTAGAGCCCGTCATGTTGTCTGCTGGATTTGTAGGAGTTTCAAAGGCTTTTCCAGCATTTCCTCTGGTTTTTTGGGTATCTGTACAGGCATCGTGTCGGTTTTTGGGTTCCCAGGTTTGCCTTCAAAATTGCTAACCCATTTTCTTCCATTGTTGTACTCGTGCCTTTCATGCGCTCTACAAGGTCCTGCCAGTGCCCGTGGTTTGTCCTAGATATTGTAACGTGAAGGGCTTTGCTAAGATTTATGCATGCCTGTCAGGCGCCCGTTTCCACGCCATTTGGCGTGTTGGTTCTGGGATGGAGCAGTGCAAACGGAAGCTTGGGCAGGTGGTTGCCAGGTTCTCGCGCCAGCGAGGGAAGAAACCGTAGCCATGTGGAGCATGCGCGCGTGGTGGAATGTCTGCGGTGCATTAGGCGGGGGGGGCGGAAGGGTGTGGAAGTGGGTGGTTCCACGGTAGTCAGAAGGACGTTGCACTCAGGATGTGGGGAGGGCAGGTTTTCTCGACGGCAGTAGGCAGAAGAGAGCGCAACAAAAGGTCAGCAGTTTTCTAGCAAAATGCAGGAAGCGAGAACAGATACCACAGAGCCTTTAGACACAGGATTGTTGTCCTTGCCAGGTCATCTTCACCGGCACTCCTGCCTCCGTCACCAAAGTCGTCAGATGAGAGGCAGCCTGTGTCTTCTGGGGGCATGAGTACAACAATGGAATAAAATAGGTTAGCAATATTCTGGGAACCTAAAAGCAAGGCGTCTCAAATCCTACCGAACCAGCGGAAACATTACAACATCTAGCGCAGACCTAGGCGCTAGCAGGAACC